TTGTGAGACATTTTGCAGTGCCGTGGAATCAGCCTCTCTTAAATCTGTCCTATGTAGTTTGTTAGATATGCCTTGACAAAATGCCAGAGACTGGATTTCCTAAACAACAGAAATGTGTTTTCTCACAGATCTGGAGTCTAGAAGTCCAAGGTATTGGCAGGTTTGGTTCCTTCTGAGGCCTCTCTGCTTGCCTTGCAGACAGCGGCCTTCTTGCCATGTCCACCCAATGGCCTCTCCTCTGTGCCCATACAGCCACAGAAAGACACTATTTTATTTCCTCTTTTTATAAGGATGCTAGTTGGACTGAATTAGAGTCCACCCTAACATACTCATTTTAACTTAAAAGTCCCATTTAAAGGCCCTGCCTGTCAAGGTCCTGTCTTCTAATACAGTCACATTCTGGGGTAGAGGTCAATAGGGGTTTAACATATGAATTTTAGGCAGACACAGTTCAGTCCATTTATTCTGTTCATTTTTGGCACATAGTGTATGTTCAAAAATATTTGTTATTTAAATAAATTAATGATTTGTGAATGAATGAATCAGAGCTTATACTTAACTATAAATATTGACTGAATATTTAACCTGCTCAGTGGAATTATAAAAGTTATCTATTATGATTATTTGACTACAAAGGAAACTTCTAATGATTATTTTTTTATCCTCTTATAACTGAAGTATAGTTGATGTATAATATTGTATGTCATAGATGTATAACATAGTGATTCACAATTTTTAAAGATTATACTCCATCTATAGTTACTGTAAAATACTAATTATAGTCCCTGTGTTGTACAATATATCCTTTTAGCTTATTTTAGACCTAATAGTTTGTTGCTACCCCTATATTGCCCTTCCCCTCTCCCTACTGATAACCACTAGTTTATTCTCTGTATCTGTGAATTTGCTTCTTTTTGGTTATATTTACTAGTTGTTTCTTTTTCTTTTTTTTAAGAGTCCACATATAAGTGATATCATACAGTATTTGTCCTTCTCTGTCTGGCTTATTTCATTTAACATAATGTCTTCCAAGCCCATCTATTTTGTTGCAAATGGCAAAATTTCATTATCTGTTCATCTGTTGATAGAGATAATATTCTTAAAATAGTTGTTTTAACTAGGTTGTTTTGACTAGGTTGACTGTATGACTAAAATATTTACTATTGTTTTTTAATAATGAAAAAATCTATAGCATAAAGTGTATCACAGTATATTTTGCAATTTCTGTAAATTGAATCTTAAGCAATCTAGTATAGAGGTTTTTATGTGAGTTTGTTTTATACAATGTCCTACTAAAATCAATAAATTGTAAAAGCTCTATCTATGCGATTGCAAACCTAAGATACTACTTTGCTAGACTCTAGCTTTGTGTCTCTTGTAGTACTAGAGAGAAGATGGTATATCTATTTAGACATCTTAGTTCATTTTCTTTCATTTATGAAGGTGGTGCTACAGTTTGAGTGTCTCTCTTAGCCCTTGACACCCATCTCCACTGGGGTTGGAGCCCTGTAATAAACGTGCCACAATTTGACCTTTTATATCTACATCATAAAATCAGGCAGATGGTGTAGTTTATGGCTAACAGGCAAGAGTTTCTCCGTTTGAAGCTGTTTTTTTTCCCACAACTAATCCATTACCAGGTATGCTACCTGTCATTTTATCTGATGTGTCCTTACAAGGTAACTAGGAAGTTTACTAAAATAACTTCTAATATGTTTTTGAAAAAAATCCCAAATTTTAATTGTAATAATTAAATAGCTAACATTGAATGCATTGAGTTATGTTAGCACATTTCCTGGGTATCGTGCATCACTGTTTCAGTGTTATGGCTTCTGTCATAAACTAATGTAATTCAAAAGTGGTCGAGTAGAGAATGAAACTATAAAAAATGCAAAATCACTTATGTTATGCTTGAAAGTAATAACATTTTTATTGACATTTCTGAAGAAAAACTGAAAACTCACCTGTGACTGAGCTGCATCTGAGTTCATGATCATTTTAATATTGTAGTAATACATTTATTGCTTACTTCTTACCCCTATGTTTGAGACTTCCTTTTCTAAAAGGTGGTAGATTAAATACAATAAAAAAAGAGTAGGTCTCTGAATTATTTAGGAATAGATGGGTTTTGCCATAATGCTAATTACATTTATATTATCTGAATCATATGTCAAAGTTTTCTAGTTGGATCCATCCAAATGTGTAGTATCAATTAAGGTAGAAATTATTATCAGGCTTATCTTAGATACTGAATATATTTGTAAAAAATATGAGTAACAAACATTTTTTTTCTAGTTCTAATTCTATACAAAATAAGACATGTCCATATTTTGAGATACTTCTAGCTCTAGAGGTCTAATATCTATGGGTAAATAATTTTATTTTTTATAAGGAAGTCAAAAAAAGTTGAAATTTTAGACTCTGAAGTGCATCCTAATAGTATTGGAATAAATGATATGTTTCTTAAAATAGTACCTTTATACAGAAATCATAACTCACTTTTTCACATAAAAAATATTAGTGCTTAGTTTATATTACGTACTAAAATAGCATGTGCATATAGATATTGTTATTGTTGTTTAGTCACTAAGTAGTGTCCAACTCCTTTGTGATCCCGTTGACTGTAGCCCCCCAAGCTCCTCGGACCATGGCAGTTCCCAGGCAAGAACACTGGAGTGGGTTGCCATTTCCTTCTCCAGGGTATCTTCCCAATCCAGGGATTAAATTTGCGTCTCATGCATTGGCAGGTAGATGCTTTACGACTGAGCCACTAGTATTAGTGACAGGCTAAAGACAGGGCGGTCATAGCAAACACCCTCTTCCAACAACACAAGAGAAGACTCTACACATGGACATCACCAGATGGTCAACACTGAAATCAGATTGATTATATTCTTTGCAGCCAAAGATGGAGAAGCTCTATACAGTCAGCAAAAACAAGACCAGGAACTGACTGTGTCTCAGATCATGAACTCCTTACTGCCGAATTCAGACTTAAATTGAAGTAAGTAGGGAAAACCACTAGATCATTCCGGTATGACTTAATCAAATCCCTTATGATTATACAGTGAAAGTGAGAAATAGATTCAAGGGATTAGATCTGATCGACACAGTACCTGAAGAACTATGGACGGAAGTT